CATGATCATCTTCAGGTGCCTCTTCCATACCTACACGAAGAGCCAAAGGTGTTTTGTACAGGTGCTGGGTATCTGTGACATTCAGATGGCTGTAAACAAGAGAATAAATCTAGGAGAGCTAGTGGTGGGAACAGGAGCCAGCAGTAGCCCAGACTCTCTAGAAAAATGGTGCTCTTGGCATCTTTGGTGCTCTGTAGACCTGATGGGTAATAGCTGTGCGTTACCGCAAATAACAAAGTTGCAAGAAAGGGGCAAGTTTTCAGGCAGAAATATGCTTGAAAGCTTATCTGTGTTTTCCAGTTGTACCAGTGGATCTAATGATCTCTGCAGATGTTGTCTCTCTTACAACAATGCTAAGATGATTATTTCAGAATGATGAAAATCTCCTTCAGCTGACGTCTCCTCCTTCTCCAAAGCTTTGTTTTCTGTGGCTGACTCCCATCTCCATTCCATTTTAAGTTTAAATTCAGATGATTAGTTGGTCCCTTATGTTGTCCCTTTAGTTGTCTCTATTGAGACACCTTGAGGTGATTCTGCCCACCCCCTCATCACGAGTTGGTATGAAATGTACACTTCTGATAAGCCAGAAGACACTCCCTTCCCCCTTGCCCTGACTTCAGACCTTTCTTTCAGAAACTTGACATAAAAACACACAGGCTTGTATACCTTCCAAATTAACGATGTCTCTGTAATAATGCTGTCTGCCTCGTGCTAGATTAGATCAGATTATTAAAAAGTTACCTTCAAGTTCTGGGTACCTGAAATGTATTTTGAAGAAGAGAATAATAATAATAATAAAGACATGCGCATAGGGACACACAGGCATGCATACCTCCCCAGTAAGAGTTGTCTTGTCTTGCAGGATCACTTGGTTTGCTTTTTGCCTGGTACTTTGGCACTGGGAGCTCACAATGGATTGACTGCTGATCATATGAAATTGGCTGAAGCCCTTATAGAAACCTGTTACCAGATGTATGCTCAAGTAGAGACAGGCCTGAGTCCGGAGATCGTGCACTTCAATCTTCATGCACAAAAGGGCCAGAAAGATGTGGAAATCAAGGTGAACAGCTAGCTTGCCTGAACTGTAATTTGATGATTCTTCTGTATCTCTGTTCTGCTGTTGAAACTCCCAGTCGGATATTAGTGATGTGCTCTGTTGTGGAGCAGCTTTTCTTTTGCTGCTTCGCTTTCTAGGTGTACCCTAGCCTTTGTTTTTAATTAACCCAGTAGTTTATTTAGAAGCTGTGTTATACATAATAAACTCTTTGGGGTAGATGGAGATGGGAATCACTAATTTTCTTCCTGCATGTGTCCTTGATAAAATTCCCTGTCTGAATTATTCTTGCCTTTTTTTTTTTTTCTCTTGCAGCCTGCAGACAGGCACAACTTACTGCGACCGGAAACTGTGGAAAGCCTTTTTTATATGTACAGATTCACCGGTGATAAGAAATACCAAGACTGGGGCTGGGAAATCTTGCAGAACTTCAATAAGTACACACGGGTAAGGTCAGCTTATAATGACCTTGTTTTGTCAGGACTTTATTCATTCACTTTCTCTCTAACAAGAGCTCTGGAAACCTACTATTTTTCAAGAGTCGTCAAATACCTGTGGGGAAATTCATAAGAACACACAGAAAAATTCAGTTCATGCAGTGCCTTAAAGTTTGAGATACAATACTTAGTATGTTCAGGGAAATAACTTGTATTACATTGATTAAAAGGTAAAATTCAGACTCACAAAGTGTCTCTACATCTTGGAAGCTGTTAAAATCTCTACTGCAATCGTTTTTAGAATTCAGAAGTTGAGAAAGACCTGGCTGGATTGAAAGAACCCTTTGAAGTTGGGGGGGGGGGGAATTGCCACAAAATGACATTAATGTTTTAATAGGGCGTTGGGGCATTTCTGTATTCATTCTGATGACAGTGCTCATGGAGATATCACTCTGATGTGCTGTAAAAGTGTGGCCCAGATGCCAGTGGTCATTAAATATCCATGTTTGTTATTAAGAAAATAGGTATGGTGCTTTGACTAACTCTAGTGTAGAAATTGCACTAGTTACTTTCTGTACGCTTGTCCAGAAACTTCAAAGGGATGTTCTTTGTCATACCTCTTTAACTTAAGCATAAATGGCCACTGTGCTTCATTTTATCCTTGTGGTTTCTTTTAAAATGCAGTGAGATTTTTTTCATAACTGAAGTTTTATATGTAAATGAGAAACAAGTATGAAATGAAAAACATGCTGATCTGTTTCTTAGTACTTATTTTCTCCAAGTGTATCAGGATGTCAAGAAGTGAAAACTATTTTGACTTTTTGAAATGTATAAAAATTCCGCTTTTTTTTGGCACAGGTTCCTACAGGTGGTTATACTTCCATTAACAACGTCCAGAATCCCAGTAATCCAGAGCCACGAGATAAGATGGAGAGCTTCTTCCTTGGGGAAACACTTAAATACATGTTTCTGCTGTTTTCAGATGACATTGACTTAATCAACCTTGACAAATACGTGTTTAACACAGAAGCTCATCCACTCCCTATCTGGGTGCCAGCATAGACTGGGTGCCAGCAGACATTCCAACGGTGGCATTTTTATCTTCAAGTCACTTTACTTTTCAGGGTTTGAGGAGAGATGCTATATTGCACCTTTTTTGTCTTAAAACAAACAAACAAAACCTTTGGGAAAGCATCTCTGGTTTGGAGAAGTCATGTCAGTCTTAAATCTAATCCCTGGTTCTGGGATGGACAAACTGTGCCATACTAAGCTGCTTTTCCTGGTATTGGTGATGAGGTTCAGAGAATAATTGTAGTGTGGACCATGACATTCACGAGGCTCTGGTGAACCAGAACTCACTTATGTCAGTCTTACTAAAGGCTCATTAAATATCAGGAATGCAGCAAGTTGTCTTACAGCACAGGATTGTCCCTGGAGAGAAGGAATAATCCTACAGGTTTCTGGTTTATTCTGGATTCACTGAAACACTCTGTTACAGCGCCATTCCTTCACATGAACATACAGTGTTTCAGGTGGTACGTGGAATAAACAAAGAACTGTAACGTTGTCCCAGGTAGAAGCAAAGCTGTCAGTATTGCTACTGATACTCTGATCTCATTCCAAACTACCGAGCTATGCTGCATCACGTTAGAAGGAGGAAGTGGCAGCAAAGCATCTGTTGTGCGGTGTCTTAGTTTTATAGAGCACTTTGAACAACCTGTTCAAGCTGTGGTTGAAATGAATGATGGAAGAGAATTTGCTGCTGGTTTGGCTCAAAGCGGTATATAATTTTGTAGAGGTATTGCAGTTTTTTAACTTATCTGCAGTAATGCAGGAGATAATGTGAAACGCAAGTGAAACTACATATGCATTTTATATATTATTTACATCAGTTAGACTCAGGTATTCTGACTGAAAGCTGCTTTCTGAGGTTGGGCACTGGGAAAGCTTGTGAGCACATTAGTATAATTCTAAGTCAGCCTCCTGCCATCCCTTCCTGTCCAGATATTGCATTTTAAGGTGTTCGTTGATTCAAACCAAGCTTACACTGTACAGCAAAGTTCATGTTATTCATCATTTTTTGGACTGTGGAGAGATTGTCACTTTTTTTGTTCCTTAGGAGTACTTTGGGTAGAAGTATTGTCGTTAGTAGTATTGAGAGCAGACAGTCTAAATGTATTACAACAATTCTTGATCCCAGTAGAATTAATGAAATCTGCTCAGCTGCTTGAAGACAAAGCAGACCCAGTTTTTTTTAAGAATCTTATGGGAACCCTGGGATCTTTCATTTTTATATGTGTAAATAGATTTTAAACCATGCATTTGGAAATCAGCTTTCTGTGGTGCTTTTCCTTCTGGTTTTGTAGCTACTTGGACAGTCCTGTATTCACATATAAGTTCTCAGAAATGTGCTTGTTCATATTTCTTAAAGAGGTTGTTCTCACCAAAACGTCCTTTCCGCTCACATTAACAGTGAGGTACAGTCCCCTCTGAATCTGGGGCTGCTAAATGGAACTAATTAAATCTGACTGTAACAGTTAATGTCCCAGTCGCTATGGGGGGTATGTGCATTTTATAGTATTTGTAACCTTTGATTTGTAAAGTAAGATGCATCTTTATTTGTCTTACGCTGATCAGTTCTGTGTGCTAGAGTCAGAAGTTATCCTTGGGACCACTATTTAAGTCTTTTAAAGGATATTTATCATTCCATGTACTAATAATGGTGTATGGAAATGGAGAAATTTTACAAATTATTTAAATGCACCTTTTCCTGTTATCAAAGGGACCCTGGGATTTGCAAGACATGACAAGTTAGTGCAGAATGTTAATGTTCCTCCTGTTCACATGCCACCAGGAACCATGGAAATTAGTTGCTCACATGTGCAGTGGAATCCAGTACCTGTAGCCTTTGTCTGCACAACTGATTTGCTCCTAAGACTTTTGTTTTCTTTGACGTAACAGCAAAGAAGGAAAATGCTGTTGAAATGTGGGAGGAAACACCTTCCATGTTTTTGTTTGTGGAGCAGGTTCATGTTACTGAGGAGCTGAGCTTTGGCTAAAAGCTGAAGATAAAAAAAAAATAAAAATTCAGTGAGACTACCCAGGCCCTGACTTGTGTTGCTTGGGCCTTGTGCCTTTGATTGTAGCTTTGACTGAACCTGTGAGTAATGACTTTGCTATGGATTGTAAAACTTCCAGAGTTTGGCATTTCACCTATACAGCAGTCTAGTGAGGAAACAAAGATTTCTAAGAAAGTGGAATACATATAAATGCTCACCAAAAATCTTCCGTTGTTGAAGTCTTATACCAGTCTTAATATACTCACGTCTACAAATGGGACTGTGGGAGTCTGTTGTAATTTTTTTGTTTTATGATTGGCTTGAGAGTAATAATCTGTTTCATAATGAGTTAAAGGAAGGCGAGAAGAATAAATTGTCACTTTCCCAAACACACTTTGTGTCTTTTAGCTGAGTCTGTTGGTCCAACTGATTTCTTTTCTACCTCATTCTTCCTGGAAAACTGAATCTTTTTGCAAAGTGTGGCTTTCCTGTCCTCTTAAATCTGAAGTTAAGATTGTTCAGCTCTCTACCTTTGAGAACAAATGCTGGTTTTGGACTCGTATATCACATGTGAAATGGCACAAACCTAAATAATCTTGTAAAACCTTAACTGCTGCTTCTTGTTCTTTTGCAAAGGTTACTTTAATTGCTTATTTATTTTTACTTCCTTAACGTAATATGTTGTGTCAGATTAGTCTGAGCTTCACAGCCCATCTCAACACCACTGTGTGCTCCCCCAGCACAACAGAAGTTTTGCACGTCTTTGAAAAGTGTTCTTTTGAGAACCCTGTGATTCTTTGCAGGGTCCGTAATCCAGTTTGGTGTTTCAGTGTATTGGTACACTTCTGATGCTTAAGTCAAATGTTGCAGAAAGGCCATCTCTTCAGCCGGTGATTCTGTCCTGCATAAAGAGCTGCCTTGGTTTCTCTCTAAGAGAATGAAAACCAAAAGAAACCCCAGCCCCATCCAGCTGTACTGTTCCCTTATGCTTTCCCTGAGAAACAGAAATGGGTATGGGCATAGCTGCGGAGTGCTGCACAGCTGTACGACTTGGAAGTCTCATGCTCTGGGCTTTAAGCCACAGCTCAGGAAAAAATACAGACCTGTTTGCTTGAAGAAAATTCAATAGATGGATGGGGCCACAGCATCTCATCTCTGAGCTTTTTGAGAACTGAAGTCTCACTGCAGGTCTTGGAAACTGGTGGTTTTGCAAGGTCCATGGTACTGGCTGACAGGGGCCCCTCTGTTTCACATGGCTTTCCATTAAACAAGATTTTCAACATCGCATGCTCAGATACAGCTGTATTTACTCCTCCACATGGCAAAGAATCCACTTTGTTTCTTGTTCGATACCTGTGTGACATGGCAGTGATGAGGGATGTGGACAGGAGGGGTTTTTGCAACTAACATGGCTATAGTTTTGTGAATTTCTGCTGTTTAAGACTACTTTCATTCTGCTGTGCACTCCTAGAAATAACCCTACGGCAACTCAACTCCCAATTCCCAGTGCCACACGCAGGGTATTTAGCAAGACCAGTAAAAGTGACGTGTCAGGGTAGCTCCGTGATGCTGTCTAGCAAGGTTGTTGCTTCAACAGAAGGGTTAAGAGTTTCCTGACTTTGGATTCAGAAAGAATGGCTTGGGGTTTTTTGTCTCTTAAGTATTGCTATAACTTACTGTCAAAGTCTGGAGACCGCAGCTTCCATTAAAGCCCAGTCCTGAGTTCTTCAGAAATGGACAACTTGTGCTTGCCAGGAAAACCTGTTGATTTGCATAATCAGTTTTCAAGTTCTGTCTTAAAGGCATGTGACCAGAGAGACACTTACTGTTTTGTGCAATGTTCCCATCTTGGTCGTACTCATGCTGGGAGGTGATGACAGAGTAGATAAGCATTTTCTCAACAACTGGAGCACAGGGGCTCCACCCATGAACAGTGCTCTGGGTCGCTTACTCTGCTTGTGCTCTGTTTTCCTTTTGTGTTCCCTGAAGTCCAGCCACCAGCAGTGTTCCTGTGATACGTGGTGGCTGCTGCTCCTCCCTTCAGCTAAGACAGCACCACATGACCAGGGTTTTCCACTTAGATCCCATCCTTCCTTGCCCAAGGCTTCAAGACATTATGGACGTTTGTGGCACTGGCTTCAGACTTCTGCCACGGTTTGAAGCCCTTTTTTGAAATAATCTTTAGGGCTGCTCATCTATCATCTGCATGGATGTCCACATGTATCTTGTTTATCCCTCTGCCATGGCACCTGAAAGCCTTCCATATAAATCAAACTATTTGTGTCCCTCGCATTCTGTGGATTCCTTTGGGGCAAGTACTGTCTGCAAGAGGAAGAGATCTGTATAGTCTGTTGTAAGAGGATTAAAGAGCTCTTACCCTTCTGGAAGGTCTTAAGACACCTCTGTTCACTCAAAGGCACAAAAGCCACTGGCCAAAGGCGGGAACTTGCAGGTTACTTTCCAAAAGACTCGTACTGAACTTGGCTGCTTTACTGCACTGCTGGGTTGGTTTCATTAGGGTGCCTGCTTGCTGGGAGCTAAGGGTGCTGTTAGAAAGGTGATATAAGCCAGGTGGAATCCTCTCTCTGCAGACACATCCACCGCTGTCTCCTTTTTTTTTAATGTGGTGCTAGTCCTGAATAATTGCTGGGGTACAGCAAATCTAAATTCAGAAAAGTCAGGGGGTCTGTGAGCATGGAGGGTGAATACAAGACGAGGCATCTCAGCAAGGCTGGAGTGGCAGTGTGGTATAAGCCACGGTTTCAGCAACAAACTTGAAGCCTGCCTTCAGTGTAAGCAAAAGGGAGATTCACAGCTCCTAGCAGAGGTGTAGAGGTTTTCATCAGCACAAACAGAGAAGATATGGGTCTACTGAGGTAATTCACTAACAGCCTTAAAGCGTTTTTCTTTGGGGGCTGGAGTTTGACTAACCAGGTCTTCTATGTGTTGTCCTTCTTTGTACCCTGAAAGATCTGATAATGGACTTGTCTGTCCCTGCTCTTCCTGCCTCCCCTCGGCAGGGGTGGTGGGGAGCAGAAGCTTTGGCCTTTTGTGCTTAAGAACAGGGAAGAAGTGGGTTGTATGCAAAAACCCCTTTTGTGAGCACCCAAATATTGTGAAATAACATCAATGACTGACAGTGTAGCTCTGGGAACCAGTCGTACTGTGATGGCAGGGAGGAGCCGGCAGTGCAAATACTTCACACAAAGCCTTGTGTTTGAGCAGCATAACAGAAGTTGAAGCAATGCTGCGACACTGCCCACGTAAGTAATGGAAGCCTCTGATGACCTGGGGGGCTTCTCTGCTAACTCATAAAATCATTGTAACTGGATCAACTGAGGCATCCAACTGATTACCAGGATTTAATATTTTTGCAATTATGCTAGTATTTATTGGTGCATAGTAATTCCAGTAGGTTAGAATCCACCTGTTTATGTGCAAAGATGAGTTTATTCCACCTGGAAAGGTGAGAAGTATCCTTTCTTATCTCCTTTGGTTATACTACCAAGCCATGAAATTCTCACATGCTTTAATAAACTTGTAATTTATTTTAAAAACATCTGAAGATGTCTCAAGTGGAAGTGTGCTTTACTGGTCACTAATATGCAGCTCCTGAGTGACACCAGGCTTACTTTGTATAAAGCCCCAGCTTAAGAGCTCTCTTGTGGAAGTTAAACCAAAAGCCAAACAAACCCCAAAACGCACAGCACCGGATGAGGCAGACATGTAACTGGTCACTAGTGGAGTCCCCTGTGAACCTGTGTAAGTAATAACCATACCTCTGCTTTTCAACTAGTCATCTAGTATTCACTTTTTGTCTGAAAATAATTTAGCTTCAACCTTAAGGTGATTCTTGCAACCATACTGTTCAGGACAATGATGATTCTTGGGCCTCCTGGTGAGATTTTATTATTTCCACCATTTATAATGCCTTGTCATTCTGAGCATGAGACCCACACAATGTGGTTTTGGCTTCAGTCAGCGATTTGTCCTTTTGCTTTTCTTTGGGTGCTTGCTTAGAGGCAGGTGGGACACTTCAGAAAGGTGGACTTCCACCATGACGGTAGAGGAGAGGACACTTTCTCAATCAGCACAGGAATGGCTCAGCCAGCTGCTCCTCATCTTGTGTCCTGGTGGTAGCCTCGCACTGCTGCGGGAGGCTGCAGGGACGGACATCACAGCCATCTGCCTGCTGAAACTCCCGAGGGCTTCTCCTGTGCTCCTTCCATCCGTGCAGATTTTACCCAGCCATTGATGATGCTCGCTTCTACCCGGCGCACCTCTGTGACGGATGGGGGGTCAGCTGGATTGCGTCCTCTAAAAAACACAGAGCAGCATGAACTACTCAGTGGGCAGCAGCTCTCTGCCTCTTGCACAGGGAACTGAAGAACAGATCATCAGTTTTGTACTTCATGTTTATGCATCACACCCACCAGGAGGTTGGGAGGCAGCCTGGAGCCCTGAGCTCTCCCTTGCATCAGTGGCTGCTGCCCTCTCCGCTCCCGGCCTGAAGGCTGATGCCTAATGCCAAGAGATGCTGGACTACGTTGCGTGAGTGATCCCTACAGGCTTTCACGCACTTGTGCCAATCCCTGTACAAATGTTCTAATGAAAGTACATCAGCTTAGTGGTGAGTTCTGCACAGCTGCCTTCCCCGAAGGCTGTAGGAGCTCTGTACTGGGGAAGCTGGTTGCTCTTCCACAGTTGGGCTGCAACTGATATCCAGTCTCCTTCAGTAAAGCATCTCCTGGTTCTTTGGACTGTGGTGAGCTAAGATCAACTGCCCAGGGCAGTAGGATTTTGTTGGTCCAAGGAGAGTTCAGTACTTACCGGAGATCAAGGTGATGAGCACCTCCTTTAATCGTCAATGCAATTAGTGACGGACTGAGGCTGCTATTTATCTGGAAGGAGAAGGAGCAGAGACAAACTCTCACCAAGTTACCGGGCAGATCTGGACATCAGTTCTGAAAACTGGAAGACGAGCTGGGCAGGACTGAGGAAAAGCATGGGAAGAGATCCCTGGTATGGCTGATGTTGTGTGCATGGCTAACAAACAGTCCTAATGAGCCAAATTGTCAGTCTCAAATGAAGTGAAGGCTTCTCCCAAAAGAAAAAACTGTCAGCCTAATCCTGTACAGGTGGTTTGAAGTAATGGGTTCCTTTGGGCCCTAAGCAGCCTGTTCCTCTTGCAACTGGGATTGCCAAGCCAGCCTAAACCACGGAACTCCTGCATTACAATCAGGAGCTCAACTAACTCAAACTCTAGTTCTGGGTCATTTTTTGTTTTAAAGTAGAGCTCAGCCACCACTCTGAAGTTTTGTTAAACCTAAGCCAAAACATGCCCTGGTTCGAGTTGCTGCTTACAGCAACCGCTTGGTCTCCTACAGATGCTGAGACTGGAGAGAGCAAGGAGCACTTGGCTGCCAGCACTGAGGCCAAGTCTCGACACAGAAACATGATGGGTTCTGGTTCAGACCCTGGGTGTTAGGTAAGAGGTTCCTGCTGGGTCTGCACTAGTGAAGCCATCTTTGCTACATCTGTGCTCCTGGCTGATGGGCACAATGTGTCCATCATTCATGTCCTGAGGCTCCCAATGGTTCAGCATAAACCAGCCCCTTGCAGAAACTCAAATGGGCTAAAGATGAATTTGCCAGTGCTGCTTTGAAAGGAAGAGGGGAGCAGTGTATCACCTGGAAAGGCGTCTCTCTCTGCTCGGTGTGCAGGAGTGCACATGCTTACCCCGCCTCCAGCCCACGGGTCCAAGTCTCCATTTGAAAAAATGATGTTGCTTGCACTTTTCAGGTCTGAAATTCAGAGAGATGACATTTGAGAGGCCTCCTTCCTGCCCGTTTACCCAAACATGTTTGGCTACGGCAGCAAACGTGACCAAGAACAGAAAATACAGGAGAAAAAAACTGCCAAGAATTTGTTTTAAGGTTTTCCACTTCCGTCTGAAGGAGGCACAGAAAGGTCTGTTTGGCTCAGGTCAGTGCAAGGCTGTGACTTTCTGCCAGGACTTGTTAGTGTGCCATGCGTGTCCCCACAGAGCTCAGCTGGGCAGAGGGGGACAGGTAGACAATGACAGGGTAATGCAAAGCACAACTCACCTCCTCCCCAAAAGTTTGTCTGCAGCCAGTGTGCTCGTGGTTTCACGTGCCATTTGCTCTGACAGTACTGCTCTCGCATGGTCTCCGTGAAGGGCATCTCGGGGAACATATCGGTCACGTTGTTGCTGTTGAAAGTTAGGTTGATCTCTGTACAAACCTAAGAGAGGTACAAGAGCTGTCATGGGGCGGGGGAATGACCAGGGCAGCAGCTGAAACCTGTTGGTGTCTCCACCACCTTACCTGGTAGTCCCAGGCATCAGCATCTGAGCCGATGCCGCAGCCAGTGGGGTCAGCACAGGACTGGTACAGCTGGTATATGTCATAACACTGGGCCAAGCCGGAGGAGTTGTAGAACACCCCTGCCAGGTAGGAACACAGCACAAAGCCAACCTGTCAGCACGTCTCTGCTGTCTCACCCACTGCCTCCTGCACAAGCCTCACGGCCAAGACCAAGCAGAGGGGCAGCTATCCTGGGGCAGAGCTGGCAGGGGCTGCACCACTGTTAAGTAACTACCCCAACTTTATGCCAAAGCTTTCACATGGTCTTGAGCCTGATTGTGTGATACTCTCTGCTTCTGCTGTATCCATGGGGAGGCAGAGGCTCCCAGGTGCTCTCTGCTGTCTCTGCTCGTGCCAGAAACCAAATGACCAGCCAAAAGCCAAGTGACCAATGTCCTCGGGAGAGCCCTAGCCTCCAATCCCGAAGGCCCCCCAGAAGCAGGCTGTGTACACGACGTTAGCTGAATGCTTCAAACCGAGCAGCACACAACTGCTGAGAACGTCCCACTCCCTCCCCCCCCCCCCCCGACCGTGTGCTTTGACTTG